TCATATAAATCTTTCACCTTTCTTTCATGTGTTGAAAACTTCACATGATTATGTTCCCAGAGTGATAACAACCAGATGACTGCAAGGAATATAAATCCTTCCACCCCCCCCCCCCCCCCCACCGTTCAGTCAGAATTGAAGAATGTTCTTGGATGAGAAACAAAACATCTTCAAGGAAAGAAACCAAGGAAGTCCAGGTGCCTTTTGAAAAAGCATCTTTCTGACAACCATGACCTGGATGATTGAGAATCTCCATAGACAGACAGAAGGAAACAGTTCAGTCCTAATTACTGCTTCATACCTACACAATGCATTTGAAAGATTTCTGGCATAATTTCACAGGCTGTCAATTGTTGGAACATACCCAGGTTATAATAAACTACTTCATAGACCAGACGATGAGAATCAGCTGCTATCATAAATATATGGAAATATATATGACCATTCATTCCAAAGAAATGGCTCCGTAAATAGAGGCCTTTGTCTGAGTCTAAATTGAATGTAGACTTGGGCAGATAAACTACAGGTAGTCCTTGACAGGTCATTTAGTAACTGTTCGAAATTACAATGGCACTGAAAAAAGTGACTTATGGTTTTTTCATACTTATGACCAGGGGTGGGCAACTGTGGCCCTTTTACAACCTGTGGACTTCAACTCCCAGAATTCCTGAGACAGCCAAGCTGACTCAGGAATTCTGGGAGTTGAAGTCCACAGGTCATAAAGGGGCCATATTTGCCCATCCCTGCTTATGACCATTGTAGAATCTCCATGGTCACACCATCAAAAGTCAAATGCTTGGTATTTATGACCTTTGCAGTATCCCTGGGTCATGTTTGTGACCTTCTGAAAAGCAAAAGCAATTTGGTTTCACTGGGGAAACCAAATTCACTTAGGAAACTGTTACTAACTTAACAACTGCAGTGATTCACACAACAACTGTGGCAAAAGAAAGTCATAAAATGGAGCAAAACTCCCTTAACAACCATCTCACTTAGCAACATAAATTTAGGACTCAATTGGGGTTATAAGTAGAGGACTGCCTGTACTCAATATTTGAAAGCAGCTGAGAATCCCTAAAATAGAAGCAATGAGATATCTATGTCAAACTCTTATTTTAATTTCTAGTTTACCTCAGACTTAATATGTACAATTATCCTTCATTTGTTTAATCCACTACATGGATTACATGCAGTACATGCACTGTATGTACAAGATAGCATTGGCATTGGCAACCTTCAGTCTCAAAAGACTATGGTATCGTTCACTAGAAAGTTGTCCTAAAACAGCATCTGGTGTGACTAAAAAGGCCAATTCGAGAGTGGCAATCTCTTCCACACTGAGGGCAGATACATTCTGTCCCCTGCCCAGCCCCAAGGTTTCGCTGGTTCCAGAACTGCCTCTTTGCCTCGGCCTGCCGAACAAGTGTCTCTTTGAATTGGAGAAGGCCATGCTGCGTCTTTAGCCTCCAAGCTGAACGATCGGAGGTCAAGGTTTCCCAGTCATTAATGTCCATTCCCAAGGCCTTTAGATCCCTCTTGCAAATATCCTTATATCGCACAAGATAGACAGCCCCTTTAAAAATCCAAATGTTGAAAATTCAATCCTATTCCATGAAACACAAAGCTTACATAATTTAAAACTTTGTTTGATTTTTACTTTGAATGTACTATTAAAGGTTATGGGAAAGATTTGAATCCTGTGTCTCTTGGTAGCAGCTCTAACAAGTAAACCACTTTCCCCTCTTTTACTATCAAAGATCTTTAACTAGAAACTATCAGAGGCTAAGTCTGGAATCCTTTATATGAAAACCAAGTGCTTTCACATTTTAATTGAAAATTATATGAAAAATGCTATAGCTAAGCACTTTATACTTTCAGGATCTATTTCACTTGAAATTCTGAAAAATCCCCCTCAAACATTAAACCTCTCAGATTCAGTAATTCTTCCTTCAGTTCATTCATTCAAATATTTCAACATTTTCATATAACATAGAAACACATGAGTATAAGCCCTTATCTTAACAATTACCGTATGCTCTGCTAGAATATCACTGATGTTTTTTTTTTTCCAAAAGGAAGCTAAGTCAGAGTCTTCCAAGCCTTTTATTATTATGCAATAATGGTCAGAAATAGACTGAATTATTCACCCGTAGAACACTATATTATTTTCAATATGTTAATAAAACACTAAAAACAAAATACAACGCCTGCAGATACTACTGTCAGCAGAGGTGTTGTTCTTTAATTTACAGGCATGGCACTGTTTGAATCACTGTTCAGTTTGGCTAGGTATCTAAGACAGAAACAACTGCTATAAATTGAATATTTTTTTTGTAGTAAGAATCTGAAGTCACCTTGAAGAGCTTCTTGAATTATTTATGATGATCCCACATTTTAACAGCAATATTATGTGATCTTATTGCTACCATTCAGGTTTTTATACGAACTAAATCAGATCAAGAAACAAGAAAGAAACCATTTAAAGCATACCCTTGAGTTCCATTATGGTAACTGCCCATAATAACGATAACACACTGAATGAAAGGGATGATAAATATAGCCATTTTAAAGAAAATGTAATATCAAAATGAAAAGGACAAATTAAGAATGTTCTTACAAAAGGTTTCCAAGCCACCCAAATTAAAATTCCTTAAAAAGAAAAAGCATTCATATGCGTAAAACATGTGTACTACTGTGTTTCCCTGAAAATATGTCCCTGTCTTATATTTTTTGAATTCCGAAATAAGCGCTTGGCCTTATTTTCGGGGAGGTCTTATTATTTTGGGGCACGTGGAGCAAGACGGGGCTCCTCTTGCCATCTTACCTGATTTTCAGCTCTGTCTCCCTAACCCTAACCACAGGAAATGGCAGGGACCGGCTGCGCATGCGTTTAAATATTTTTGGGGAGGGCTTATTTGGAGGGGGGGTTATTTTTAGCGCATGCTCTCAAAAGCCTGATTGGGCTTATTATCCGGGGAGGTCTTATTTTAGGGAAAACAGGGTACCTTACCTGAAATGGTAGAATAACAGTATTAACATTCCTTTAGGCTTCTGCTATTCTTACATAATTTATCTGGGCTAAAATTAGACAATTCTATTTCTTTTTTCTGTATTGTAAAGCTAGTAATATCATGGATATCTATGTAAGACTGAACATAAATACAAGAAGACTGAAATGTATTTATCTTTCTGACTTCCCAATGCTGGAAGCAAAATTATTCAATAAACATTCTAAACATGGTAGCCATGATGACCACCAAAATAAACCATTAAATCAAAAAGAGTTCTCTAGTTATGGATTATTGCTTGTAACACGAACCAAGTGTAGAAGTGGGTCTGAACCACTGCAACTACATGTCTATGGAGATTCTCAGTCATCTAGGTCATGGTTGTCCCAAAGGTGCTTTTTCAAGAGGCAACTGGACTTTCTGGTTTTTCTTTGAAGATGTTTTTGCTTCTTAGCTGAAGAAGCTTCTTGGATGAGAAGTGAAACGTCTTCAAAGAAAAACCAGAAAGTCCAGTTGCCTCTTGAAAAAGCACCTTTGGGACACTGCAACTACAGAAATAAAAAAGGAGCCTGTCCCACAAACAGAAAAGATCCTAAACCATTTTAAACCCTGATGTTCAGAACTCATTTTTGTCTATTCTACAAGGCAGTTTTAATTTTGTGACCTTAGGCAATTTTACACCCGATACACCACATTTACAGCAAGATAAAAGACAAGGAACTTTCACAGAGAACATTGGAAGATGAAACTACAAAAGAATTTCAAAGCAGAATAAGTACACCAAACTCTTTGTATAAGTACTTGGAAGTACCTCTCAGGGAGATCAACAGAGCTTTTAAAGATTTCCTACACAAGGTCAATAATAATCCCAGGGATTTTATGGAATTGTCATAAATTCCCCTCCCAACGTTTTTCTGTGCAATGAAAAAGGAAATAATAATTAACAATAAAATTGTCAGCCCAAAATAATACTGCAAGTAATTACTGTACATAATTACAACCTTCCATAGCCTAATGCCTCCCAAAAACATTGGAATGACAATTCCCAGAGTCCCTACCAGAGCTTTTGGCTGGGAGTTTCATGACTGACATATCTGAAGATTGTAGAAGCTTTAGCAAAGCTCAAGCAAAGCGTCTAAATATATCCAAAAGACATAATGGAAGAAAATAAAGCAGTCATTTTCAGTTTTGTTTAAGATGGGGTGGGAAGCTATGGCCCTTTTATGACCTGTGGACTTCAATTCTGGGAATTGAAGTCCACAAGTCATAAAGAGGCCATAGTTCCCCACCTCTGGTTTAAAAGATGTGTACTTTTTCAACTTTAAATGCTTACATCTTATATAGCCTATAGAAAATATACAGCTCAGTAGCTCAGGGTTGAATTGTGAAGTCCTTGGTGCTGTCTAGGCTTAGTTGTTAGGTTGTAGACATTCCATTATTTATTTATTTATTTACTCTGTTATGGTTATGTAGTGTCTATTGGAGGTGGTCACTTTGAGAGCTGTATGCAATGAAATTTCATTTTAATGTAGGCCAATTAGTGTACATTCAAAATGACAATAAGTATTGTATTGTATTGTATTGTATTGTATTGTATTGTATTGTATTGTATTGTATTGTATTGTATTGTATTGTATTGTATTGTATTGTATTGTATTGTATTGTATTCCTTGACTGGGTAACATCAGTGTGAGTGAGAGTGGGGTTTGCTCTCCAGTTATTACCTCATTGTTACCTTGTTGGATAATGTAAGGTCTGCAAGCAAAAAAAGGAGCTCAGGGAGAACCAACCAAATTCTTCATATATAGCCCCCCTCCCCCCACCATCAATGGTAATAAGAACCCGCCCCCCCCAAAAGAGCTAGATCAACACAGGATATGGAGCCCACAAGGGCCTCTTCATGAGTAGCCCCCCTGAATTCAGGAGGCTTGTCTTCTTGAAAAAGAAGGGCTGAGCGCCCCCTTTTCCCAGAGGGGAGCCGGCTGCTCTTACCAGTGATCCCTCCGCTGCCTCCATCTCCTCCGTGCCCCTTCCTCTTCTGCAGGATGAAGTAAGGGTTGGCCCGCTCCGTGATCCACAAGGCATTGGCCAGCAGCACCTCCTCCGGGTTCACCCACATCCTCCCGGCCAAGACAAAGGCAGCCGGGGGAAGCTTCTTTTCGGCGGACGCTTCTCAAGAACGCAGCCTCCGTTCTCCCTCAGCGCCCTGCCCAGCCCGGAGGGGCGCCGCCAGCAGCTCGACGGAAGCACGGCTCATCGGGAAAGAGGGAAGCAAGAAAGAGCCGCGGCATCCCCGCGTCCTCGGCCCGAGCAGCTCTCAGGCTCGGGAGTCACGTCGGGGGGAGGGGGGGACGGGGACGCGGGAACAAGCCGAGCGGTGACCTCAGAGCAGAGCCCGCCCAGCCTCACTCCTGCCGGGCGGTAACGCCATCTCCCAGCCAGCTCATGGCAAGAAGAGCCCCGGGAAGGATGCGGTGGCAGGACGGGGACCGCACTCGATCACAGAACCAGACGGGGGGAAGAGGCCGATGGTTCGGAATGACCTCCCGAGCCCAAAAAAAAACAACCCGGGAAAAACCGTCTCGCCTGCCAAGACCGCTTATTTCCCCGCCGCTTATATGCGAGGCAAGGTCAGGTATAAAGACGGAGGAGGCTAGAGAGCTGCCCGGCTCGGATCGGCCCGTCCTTCCTCTTCCACCTCTCCGTGCGTCGGCGCCTCTCGGAGCTGGCAAACCCCGCAGTGTCCCCGGCACGGGTTACGCAAAAAACACCCCGGGGATTTCGGACGATCGCGTCCTACCTATCGCCCCCGCATCTCACTGGGTTGAAAACCCACCGCCTCAGAGGCGCACGACCAACCTACACCGGGCTGGCCCCGAAAAGCTTGTTCCCCCGAAAAGGGGACGCTGACCGTCCGACAAAGGATGTCGTTTAAAGGCGGCTAAGGAGACGACCGGCGACCCTCGTTCCAGAGCCCGCCGAGCCGAAAGAGCTCAGCAATTAGCATCCTCCGCTGGGTTGCTAAACTCGCGATCGCTTAGATCGCCCATCCCAGCCCGGCCGGGATGGCACCGATTAGCAACACCCTGGAACGCTGCGGATCTCCATCGCCCGGCCGAGCCTATCGCCTCCGGAGGGCTGACGCGCCAGGTTCCGAGGAGGCGTGGCCTCGGCTGGAACAACCTGCGCAGAGCGCGGTGGTTGGCTTGGCGCTTCCTGCAATCCCAAGAGCTGGTCACGCGGTCTCCAGATCCCTGCCTTGGCTTCCAAGCCCGCAAGCTCCACCCAAGCGGCGGCCGAAGGGCCTCTTGCGGAGCCCCGGCAGGGAGCTTGTGGTTTCATGAAGGGGAATGCGGAGGAAGAGGCACATTTCCCCCTTCCCCCCTCCACCTTTTCTGCTCACAGAAGGGGCCGGCGGGACGGTAGTAAATCAGAAGTAATCGCCCATTTCAGTTTCTAAGCCGGACAGCCTTGCCAGTCGGTTATTCTACGAACCCGGTGAATTTATCCAAGTCATTTCTGTTCTTCAGAGCAGGTGTTGGCAAAGGGATAAAATATATTGACGTAGGAAAAGGTACAACAACAACAACCCTATAAGCACACAAAACCTTCGTCCTCCACAAATACAATTAATCAGCATTATTAGACTGGACGAGAAAAATTAGACCAACCCCCTAGGTAGAAGCAGAGATATGAAACCCAAGGTCTTTACCGCCATCTGGTGGGCGGCTGAATCATTGCGGTTTTCGTGTAGCCAAAGATAACAGCTTTTACGCATCTGTGCGTGGAAACACCTAGCAATTTTTGATTCTGTGCCTTTGCTAATATTCCTACATAATAGTTTATATGTTTGAGAATATTTATTTATTTATTTATTTATTTATTTATTTATTTATTTATTTATTTATTTATTGGTTCGATTTATATGCCGCCCTTCTCCGGAGACTCAGGGCGGCTTACAATGCATAAAACAATAGCCTTCATACTTTTTGTATATACTGCTTAGTAGGGCTTTCGGGCCCCCCCAAGCGGTATTCTTTTTATACAAAGTCAGCTTATTGCCCCCACAATCCGGGTCCTCATTTTACCTACCTCGGAAGGATGGAAGGCTGAGTCAACCTTGAGCCTGGTGAGATTTGAACTCGCAGTTATTGCAGGCAGCTGGCAGCTAAGTGCTATTTAACAGCACTTTAGTCTGCTGCGCCACCAAGGCTCCTTATTTCATCTTATAGTTATTTTAAGGTGCGGTAATACTTCTTTAAGATAGGGAGCTCACATTATAGTAATCCTGGAAGATGTTTATTTGGCTACTTCTTTTTTATTATTATTATGGGAAGTTTTATCTCTAGGTAAATCATTGTAAAAGAGAGATCTCTTGAGGTGAAGCTATTTAACTTTGGTTCCAGCTTTATGGTTCTTTTGTGAGTGTTTTAAGGTTGACTGCTTTATATTGGATGACATGTTAGCCTTCCTTCAAAAACATTAGGTAAATGTCCATAATTTGTTTTGCAGCTTGCGAATGAGTTAGTACATAGGTGATTCTTTATATACCTCTGAAATACATTTACATCAAATTTATGTCCATTGCAAAATTTCTCTGGGAACTATTATTTCAAGACAAAAAAGTTCATTGGAGATTTATGAGAATTCATAGATCTGTGAGAATTATATTCTTGCTAAGCAAAATATTGTGAGAGATTAAATTATACAGTAAATTCATTAGTTTGTAGTTTCCTGTAGAAAGTAAACATTGTATCATTATAGTACTAGATAGTTGTAACAAGAATTTCTGAATATAGATCAAATAAAATTGTGTGTTCTCTCGGCTTAAAAAAGTCCAATGAAATGGTGTACATAATCATACATCCAATAGAGTATTATCATACAGGTAAATAACAAAAACAAATAAGAACTGGAAACATCAGAATTACGTAAGATTATTGGAGGTTTATGTTTGCTTGATTTTGAGGACAGAAAAGGAAACATAGAAGACCTAATAATAAATATACTCTTGCCAGGTAGAAAGTGGAATTTAGAAGCTTAAGAGCTTTATGGACAATGCCTTCCCTCTCCATTTATGGCTGGCATTTTGTTATTATTTTGCTTCTAGATTGGTGCATCTCATCTTAAAAATATTTAGTTGTGGATAAAGAGTTTAGCCTAAGCAACACCAAAGTAGATATGACTGATTGTAATACACACTCTAGCTTTGCAAACTCCTTTGAACCTTTGGTCTGTGGTGGCTTGTTTTTCAGGTGGCTAAAAAGTTACAGAAAGATTCAAGAAATTAAACTAACACTATAGAAATACACTTGTAAATCAGTTCAGAATATCTGTCACTATAGATTTTCAAGAATATTACATTAAAGGCAGCACTAAGTTAACAATCACTCATTCAGTGATCATTCAACATTACAATGGCACCAAATTGATATTTATGACTGGTCCTCAAAATTTCAGCTTTCCCAGCATCCCTGCAGTTATGTGCTCATGATCTGGGCACTTGGCAACCAGTTGTCAGTCTTCCCAGTTAAACCAGACAGAAAGCATGACTAAATGAGCTAATTCTACATTATTGTAAAGCTACATTAACAGAATCTTGCAAGTCTGAAAGTACAACTTCCTACCACCATTTTTAACTGCTTGATCCATTAGAGTGGGTCCTTTCTAAGATTCTTTTTAAGTTTCTGCAGGCTCTTGTTGCTCTTGTCTGATTGTTTCTGAGGAAGCATCTATTCCCCTCTTTCTCCAAAGTCATTCCTACATTCCATTTCACTGGCTCACACACAGTTGCAGTGTCCTGTGGTCACATGAACTGGTACCATTTAGGGCAGGGGTGAAATGCTCCCGGTTCGGACCAGCTCGGGCGAGTAGGTAGCGATGGTGGCGGGCAGTTCGGAGAACCGGTAGCAAAAATCCCTGCCCCCGTCCCCCCATGCCCAGCTGAGCCCCGCAATCATCAGAGCCTTTTTTTCCTTTTAAATGGCTCTGACTAGGCAAGCTGTGACATCCCAGCTGAGTTGCCTGCTAATCAGGCAACTCAGTTTGGATCGCCAGAGCCATGTAAAAGAAAAAAAGTTTCTTTTTTCTCCCCCCACTCTCCCAGCCTCCAGCTTGCTTACCTTAGCTGTTGATCGCATGACGATCGCAATCCATGCATCAGCAAGCAACTGAATCTCCCTGCCTGCAATCAAGCTCATTGGTGAGCAGCTCTTTCTGCCTGCCTGCCTTCCTACCTAGACTTGTGGACTTCAACTCCCAGCAAAGCTGGCTGAGGAATTCTGGGAGTTGAAGTCCACAAGTCTTAAAGTTGCCAAGGTTGGAGACCCCTGTTCTATTGGGTAAGTTTTTTTCCCCTTTGGGAGCTTTAAAAAAAATAGTTAATTGGGTTTTTTTTCAGTTGTTCTTTTTTTAGACCTAGCCATTTAAAGTTTAGGAAGTTTTAAATTTAGCTGCTTTTATATAAAAATAAAAATACATTAAAATAAAATAATATTTGTGTAGCTTTCTGAGATTTAGTGTGTTTCTGTAATGTTTCACTCTAACTACACAAATACACAAAATCTCACAAAGCTGTATGTGGAATTTTGTGTGTGTAAAGTGTGAAAGTTGGTTTTTGGGGCTTTTTGTGGCTGTGTGTGGTTCCTGCTTGTTGCAGGGGCCATTTTGGGTCTAGCACAGCTGCTTTTACATTGTGGGTGAGCCAGTTGTGTTGTGTTGTGTTGTGTGTGTGTAAAGTGTGAAAGTTGTTTTTTGGGCTTTTTGTGGCTGTGTGAGGTTCCTGCTTGTTGCGGGGCCATTTTGAGTCTAGCACAGCTGCTTTTACATTGTGGGTGAGCCAGTTGTGTTGTGTTGTGTTTTGTAGGTTAAAAAAGGGCAAAGAAGTGATATTGACTTGGCCACGCCCACCCTGTCATTTTACCACCAAGCCCTGCCCACTAATTAAGCCACGCCCACAGAACCAGTAGCAAAAATTTTTAGATTTCACCCCTGATTTAGGGCCTTCCCTTCTATCTTCCCCCAAGCAAAGTTGCTGGCAGAGAAGTCAGTAGTTGCTCCTGTAAATTGTTTCCATTCCCACTGCTTTTCTTCCCCATGACTCTGGGTATAAAGTATTGGCGTACAATAATGCCATACACAGCAGCACTGGCCTGACCCCTTTCCAGGTCACTAGTGGCATGGAATTTGTACCCATGCCTGAGTTCCCCAGAGACCCCCCTCATTGGTGTCCTTAAGTGAATCTTCACTTAAGGAGATCTTCAAAGAAGTGTGGATTTATAAATAATAGGAATTGCCCTAGAAACTGAACATCTGACTATGTGGCTTAATGAGATAGGGGAAAATCTGGGGGGCCATTCTGGATTATAAATGCTGTTTCATAGAACATCTTATGAGGTGAAAGAAGAAAAGTTAAACAAGATGTACAAAGTTGAATAATTTAGGGGGAGCAAATTAGCAGATCTTGAGGATTATAACATATTGTGGATTCTGAGGAACAGTTCCGGGACTGAGCAAATTACTTTAATATTGGCTTTTTGGGGTACTGGACAATTGGGACATTGGGGATTTAGTGGGCTATTGAGTACATTTTAGCCCATTAAATTAAAGTAAAATGTTACAACAGGGAAAAACAAATGCATCTCCAAAAAAATTCTATTGATGCTTCAAAGTATTCAGGAAACTATGACAAGGAACCATAGGGAGATGAAGAAACTGTTGCATGATACAGATATGAAACTAAGAGACTCTCAGCAAATGACAATGAAAAATGAACAAGAAATCCTGGAAATAGAGGAGAAAGTAGAAAGAGCAGAGGAAAGAATAGATGAAACAAATCAACAAATGACACAAGCAGAAAAAGATGAGGAAGAGATAGTAAATATTCTTGAAATGGAGTAGGCAGATTATGCTTTAAGGGGGCAAAATATAGAAGAGGACAAAGAGAAAGAGCTCCCAGAAGTGATGAAAGAGTCATTGATGGGTGTGCTGGAGATTCGATAGTGAGAGATAGATATAGAGGCAGATGAAATATTGAGATTAAATATGAGTGATGTAAGGGGAAACAAGATCCCAGGAGAGGAGCATGGGAGATTTGTCAAAAAGTCAATAAGAATTGAAATACTAAAAGGGCAAGATATGACAGATAGATACAGAATACTTCTTAATGAGCCACAGTGGCACAGTG